CTACTGCTGTATGAAACACAACTCAGGCTTTTATTCTGAAGGAAACTTCTATGTATGAAACACAACTCAGGCTTTTATTCTGAAGGAAACTTCTATGTATGAAACACAACTCAGGCTTTTATTCTGAAGGAAACTTCTATGTATGAAACACAACTCAGGCTTTTATTCTGAAGGAAACTTCTATGTATGAAACACAACTCAGGCTTTTATTCTGAAGGAAACTTCTATGTATGAAACACAACTCAGGCTTTTATTCTGAAGGAAACTTCTATGTATGAAACACAACTCAGGCTTTTATTCTGAAGGAAACTTCTATGTATGAAACACAACTCAGGCTTTTATTCTGAAGGAAACTTCTATGTATGAAACACAACTCAGGCTTTTATTCTGAAGGAAACTTCTGCTGTATGAAACACAACTCAGGCTTTTATTCTGAAGTCTGTGCGGGCTTGAGGAGATGACATCTTGTTGGGTCAGCGTCGGGACTCGTTCCTTACGTTTTCTCAGTATTGTTCTCCTTCGTTACTAGAAATACCAGATTTTCCTCCTCCAACTCCTTGATCATCAACTGAAAACAAGCTTTTAGTTGGGAACATGAAGAGAGCGACAGATGAAGGAATTTACATTTGTAATAAAAAGTTAGGAACTAGCAGAGGTAACAGCTACCCCCTCACATCACTTATGAAATTTACGTAAAGTAGGTCCACGTGTCCTTGAAATTCTTGAAAGTTTGTGAATTTTAAAAAATGATTTCAAGGCCCTGGAGAGTTTGTGAAAACAGTCCTTGAAAGTCCTTGAATGTTTTTTTGGGGATTGAAGTTCTCGATTCACAACTGATTTTCATTATCTGTTTAAAAAAAACTTACATTTGTTGAAAGTAGATAACAGAATTACGGTAAACTGACGTGGCTTTCAACAAATTACGTCATAGTTTTAGCCAATCAGAGCAGAGCAGGTCATTCAGGTGAGAGCACCACAACTTCACCTGTCCTCACCGAGCAGCAGCGTCTGAACATGTTTCAGGAAACTGGTACTGGAAAGTCCTTGAAAGGTCCTTGAATTTGATGTTGACCAAGGTGTGTGAACCCTGGTAAAGTTAGGGATGGACCAGGGGCGGAGTTTGTGACGACAACAAACAACAACAGCTACTGAAGCTGTAACATGGTTACCATTTATCCAAGCCGGCACGATGTCTGCGGTCACGTGCTCGCTGCTTACGCCACTTGCGTGCACTGAGTTTACGAAGCTTACGTAGCGTGAAAACTAAACTCTCGGCGAACCCGAAAATGAACGCCGTGGCCTGAGGGCGTCCTGAGGCGTATAAGAAGGCGTCAGAAAACCAACGCCCCTCCATCAATGTCTGACTGAAAATAAACATCCAGTCTTTGAGGATAAAATGTCTGTTTGAAAAAGAACAGATGCAGTTCTTGTGACGTATGAAGCAACCTTTACTGTTGACCTAAACTCTGTGTTTGTTGAGCATTGAACCATTTAGAGCTTTAAATGATAATATGAGCTCTGTTTAACTGGGAAAGTGAGGACATTTTCAGATGGTGTCTTCATCCTCACTGGTTTGGTTTCTACTCTTTTTGGATGACTTGAGTTTAGGAACGTATTTTTGTAATCTGATCAGGTAAAAATAGAAACAGGAATCTTTTTTTCTTTGACTTCCAGAAAAGCAGCTGTAAAATCTCAGAGAACCCAGTACCTAATGGTCTGTTTGATACGGCAGGGATTGTGCTGTTGTGTTTGTGTCCGGGGCACTTAATGACCCCCCTGTGGGGATTGAACCTAAAAAAAAAAAGTTTTTGTTACGTGTGTTAAAATTCAGGCTGGTCTCCAGTTCTCTGTGTTCCTGCTCAGAACAGCTTGTTTCTGTTTTTGTCCAAGCAGACCAAGCCTCCTGTCGTCTGGTTTTGGTTTTTATTTTTAGCTCTTTCTCTGACCTGCTTTGAGCCTGTTCATGTTGCTGTTGTGTTGCTGTTTGTGGGTCTGACAACAGTGAGAGGGATCCCAGCACACTCAGCTCAACTCTACTTCTTTTCTGTAACAAACTCCTCCTTCCTGCTGGATTTGTGTAACTTTTGTGTAATTTAAAACTCACATGGGATGGTTTTACTGTAGATTTTTGGCTTTTGTCTTGTGTTGGAGTTGTGTAACTCTTTTTGAAAAAGATTCTGTGATTTGTTTGTTTTTGTTTTTCCGTGTTGTGCAAGTTGAGGCTTATTGTCTGATAGAAAAACTTGAACACCTGAAATACTTTAAAATCCTTTTATTGCTTCTTCAGATGCTTTTTATGTAAAGACTGGAGCTGCTCTCAGAGGCCACAGGATTGCAAACTTTTATATCTGTGGCTCTGCTAGCTGACCTGGATTGAGAGGTAAAATCATTTATTTCAGATGTAAATCATCCGTCCAGCAACTGACAGTTGGTTTTATACACACAGATGTGATTGAGGGTTTCTTTAACACAAACTGGATTTAACAAAACACTAGCTAAAAACAGCAAAATACTTATCAAAACAGTAGCTTCAAGAGGCAAAATAGATGCTAAAGCTACAACTTAGCAAAGCAAATGCTAAACCTTTCAAAACTGTTTCTAATTACAAAACTAGTACTAGCTAGAGTTAGCTAAATAAATGTTAAAACTACAAAAGAACAAAACAATAGATGGATTTAGCAAAGCAGATCTTATACCAGAACAGTAGCTAAAATTTGTAAACAATGTTAAAGCTAAAATGAGCAAAACAGGTGCTACATGTAGCTGAACCGCTGCTAAACTTAACCAAATGTATGCTAAAGCTAAAAATGAGCAAAACAGTAGCTAGATTTAGCAATATGCTAAAGTAGCAAAACATGGGCTGAATTTAGCTGAACTGTGGCTAAACTTAGCCACATGTACGCTAAAACTAAACATTAGCAAAACAGTAGCTGGATTTAGCAATATGCTAAAATTAGCTAAACAGGTTCTAAAGTTAGCTAAACTGCAGTTTAAACCTAGCCAAATGTATGCTAAAGCAAAAAATGAGCAAAACTGTAGCTGGATTTAGCCATTTGCTAAAAGTAGCAAAGCAGATGCTAAATTTAGTTGAAATGTGGCTAAACTTAGCCAAATGTATGCTAAAGCTAAAAATGAGCAAAACTGTAGCTGGATTTAGCCATTTGCTAAAAGTAGCAAAGCAGATGCTAAATTTAGTTGAAATGTGGCTAAACTTACCCAAATGTATGCTAAAACTAAAAATTAGCAAAATATTAGCTGGATTTAGCCATATGCTAAAAGTAGCAAAACAGATGCTAAATTTAGTTGAAATGTGGCTAAACTTAGCCAAATGTATGCTAAAG